AGGTTTTACGTCTTTCTTCGCGGAGGCTTTCTTTAAGCGTCTTTTTTCGTAAGGAATATTATTCGAATGTTAGTCCAGGGGTATCACGGAAAATAAAGCAGCGAGTAGTGTTAACATTTACCATTATGTGGTCTACTGATTAATTCCACCATGTTCCGTGATTCGAAATTTCAGATACAGGTATTTATTGTAGCCGAAGATAGAAAACTTGTACCCACTTTATATTATTAGGGAGTATGTTAATTCATAAAAAGAAGTTTGTTAATAATATAAATAAAATTTTAAATTTAATTTGCAGATCATAAAGTATCTATTTCCGAACTCTCCGCCATGAGTGTGGTACACAAGTGCACCTCGAAATTGCTCACCGCTAATATGAATACCACCACGAGGTTGAATATGCGATTTCATACACGAAACTATGGATCATCAAATGGCAACACGCTCCACAAACAAATCAATCCATGGAGTAGTAAAACAAACATTCGAATACAAAAATTCAACTATCATGACAGACGGCCACTTCCCGCGGTCTTCGCCTCATTCATTTTCTTAGTTTTAAGCATTTTTTGTGAGATCAAAGCGCAAACTCGAGATCCTCGGTTTTACTCACGTCCGGGTGTAAATGATTACAACTGGCCAAATCCAGGTGATCCTGATTATAGGTAAGAAAAATAAATTGGATTGCTAATCAAAGCTCCTTAACATTAAATAAGTTTTATTTAAGAACCTATATTTTTAATGATCGTCGTTATGGACATTATTTGCCTAACGGCTATGGCTCAAACTATCCCGGCAGGAATTCTCCAGGACAATACCCACAGGGAATGCCCAACGAAGAACGATTTCGGTTTGGTCCGGTAAGTTGCCATGAATAATAATCCATAAATATCACTGTATATGAATATTATTTCTTCTTATTATTATTTGGCTATGCAACCTTTCAAGCGATTTTCACCGAGTTGAATAAGTTAGGCCAATCGTTTCTCTTCTATACTTCCAAGTTACAAGTAAAGCCAAAAACTTCTCCACCGGGCGTAGAAATGAGGCGTTTTTCTTACTTTCAGGGCTGGAGCATTTGTTCATCATAACTAACAAGCCAAAGGAGCCGCTGTATTTAATCGTCTGCGGTATTCGCCGTCGCCAACGCTCAAACGGATGCAAATCTTCCGCCAATTTTTTTTTTCTGTAAAATACTCTAAGGGTAGCCTCATCGGATGTTTTCATTCTCCATGCTTCTGCGCCATACACCAGCATCGGCATGATGAGTGACATACAGTGGGTTTTATACATACAGTGGGTTTTATACATCGAGCGAGGATACAATTTACTTCTCAATTAGCACTTATTGGCATTGATGATTCTGCATTGGATTGCCGGTGTTAATGCTGGTTCCCAAATAAACGAAGCTCTCTACTTTTTCGAAATAATAGCTGCCAACAGTGACGTGAGCGCTAAGGTGCGAATACGCTGACTCATTGGTTGACGACAGAAGATACTTTGTCTTGCCCTCTTTTACCACCAGACCAATTCGCTTTGCTTCCATAACCATCTTTGAGAAGGCAGTAGAGAGTCAAGTGCTGAACACATTGAAGACGACGAGCTACGGGCCACAGCTTCCAATTTGTTATCTTCATTATCTAAACGCTTTGTCGATGGCGACAAGAATTTTTTGAACGCGGCAGCGACGCAATGAATTTGTGTGAGTTTGACATAAAAGAAGAGGAACAACCTTATCAGTCAGTGGAAAAATAGAAAAAGATCTAATCTGGCCACAACCACAGTCGCCGCATAGCCCTGTCGTCGCCAAAATAATTATCTACATAAGAATAGGTGGGAAAAAAAATTTGCAGCTGTGGTCCGTAGCTCGTCCAACCCCGAGAAGGCAGAACAGAGATAGCCCTTGTTTTTACCGATAATATCGATGTCGTCCGCATACGCCAGCAATTGTACGCTCTTGTAAAGTATTGTGCCAGAACGATTCTGTTCTGCGGCTCTTATTATCTTCTCCAACATCAGATTAAAGAAATCACACGAAAGGGAGTTCCCTTGTCTGAAACCTCGTTTGGTATCAAACGGCTCGGAGAGGTTCTTCCCTATTTTGACGGAGCTGGTGGTATTGCTCAATGCCATTTTACACAGTCGTATTCGTTTCGCGGGGATACCAAATTCAGACATCGCGGCATAATGGCAACTTCTCTTCGTGCTGTCGAAAGCGGCTTTGAAATCGACAAATAGATGGTGGATGTCGATCCTATTCTCGCGTGTCTTTTCCAAGATTTGGCGTATTGTGAATACCTGATCTATGGTCAGGCCTAAAGCCACACTGATAAAGTCCAATCAGTTCGTTAACGGTGGGCTTCAGTCTTTCGTACAATACACTCAATAAGACCTTATTACCTATGCTTAGAAGGCTGGGGTCGCCTTTGTGGATTGGGCAGAGCACACTGAAATTCCAGGCGTCGGGCATGCGTTCATCTGACCATATTTTGCATACGAGATTATGCATGCACCTCATCAGCTCCTCGCAGCCGTACTTGAATAGCTCGGCTGGCAGGCCGTCAGCTCCAGCAGCTTTGTTGTTTTTCAGCCGCGTAATCGCTATTCGTACCTCGTCGTAGTCAGGCGGTGGGGCAGCTACTCCATCATCATCGACTGGGGGCTCGGGTTCGTTTTCTTCACTACTTTCAGCGCTGCTACCATTCAGCAGGTTTTAAAAGTATTCCCTCCACAATTTAAATATATTCTGGACATCGGTAACTGGGTCGCCATTGTTGTTCTTACAGGAGTCTTGAAACCTTCCGTAAGTCGCCTAACTCTCTGGTAGAATTTTCGCGCGTTCTTCCTGACGGCCAGCATCTCAAGCTCTTCGCACTCACGTGTTTTTTTTTTTTTTTTACTTATGTAATTCATTTATTTCAATATAAAGTATGAGCACAATAAGATCAAGATCTTTTGTAGTACAACAAATAGATTCAAAAGAATGATACATACTTACTACTAAATTGAAACGATTTATACAATATCAGTTTGGATTAACAGATAAGATAAGATAACTATTACATATAAATTATTGTATATTAGTAATATTCCTCTGCGCCAAATTGGCTGTAAAGAGGGTGCCTAAGATTAAGATTTTATCATTTTATCATACAATACAAACAAAAAAACTAACGTATAGTAGCAAAACGATCCGTGTTCAAAAGCTTTACATTAAAAAAAAAGAAACTTTACGTAAGAAGCGATTCAATATTTTGTAGTAAGTAACTCTTTATTTCGTTTTTAAAAACCGATACTCGTTCCAGTGTTTTAATAGCGTTCCGCAGTTTATTAAACTCATTTGGCCCGGCATACTCTACTCTTTGCTTGGATACCTCTAACCGACATCTTGTTACGTAGAGTAAATCACTGTTCCTGGTTGGAAATCCGGATTGATTGTTTTGGAATTGTAGGACATGGTAACCAAGGCCATGTAAGGTTTTATATACATAGATCAATAGCTGCTTTTTATATAAACGAGAAACTGGTAGTATTGATTGACCATACTCTCTAAATACACTCAAAGTGGAATGCCTTCTTGATAGATTAAAAACAAGTTTCAAAGCTGTGTTTTGGCACGATTGAAGAGATCTTAGATCGTTCATTTTATGGGCATAAACAATAGGAAGATAAGTTAAATGACTGTGAATAAGCGATTGGTACAGTAAGAGTTTAACTTTCTCTGTCAGCTTATGCTTAAATTTATAAAGTATCCCAATGCCAGCCGATAGCTTTGCTTTTAAGGCATCAATATGGACACTCCAGGATAAGTTCCGAGACAGATGCACCCCCAAATATTTAACAGTATCAACTTCCTTGATTTCATTATCCTCGACATAAACGCTAAATGACTGCTCGAACCTAGACATTACATGAGGCCTGAAACGAATTAGCTTAGTTTTCTTTGCGTTTAAGACAAGTTTATGTAAGCGTACAAACTCAGAAATTATAAGAGCATCGTGTTCTATCTGTACCTTTAGAACTTCAAGATGTTTGTAGGGATAAAACAAACAAATATCGTCCGCAAACATTATAAGTCACCCATTTAAGTTTAGATTTTTAATGTCATTTATGTACAACTTGAAAAAAAGAGGCCCTAGCACACTACCTTGTGGCACACCACAACTAATAGGACTCATACTACTTCTTTCCCCACATATTTCCACATATTGTTTCCTATTTGAAAGATAATCGGCTAGCAGGTTAAATTCTCTGTTTTTAATACCCAGCAAATCCAATTTATGCAATAAAACCCGATGATCAACAAGATCAAAAGCTTTACTAAAATCATAAAACAGCCCAGTTACTCCAGAAAACCCTCTGTCTAATCCCTCACAAATTATATTTAAGACATTGACCACAGCTTCTTCGGTACCGCAGCCTTTTTTAAACCCAAACTGATGAGAAAACATAACTTTTTCTGATTCTAAATAACATACTAATTGATCATATATAATTTTCTCAAAAATTTTGTCAACAGCTTTCGTAGTGTGAGTAACTTTTGGTATTGGTACAACTTTGTGAATTTTAAGAATATTCTTATTATTTTAAGAATTTTCTATTGAATCATTAAAGACTTTAGCCAGGTACGGTGATATTATGTCCTTCACTGCATAAAGAGCTGTTGGTGGAATGTTATCGTGACCACAGCTTTTATTAAGATCAAGATTAGACAAGGCAACTTCGATATCAGATGTGCCCACCGCACTTAATAGAAAAGTATTTTGAAGTTTCGACGACATTCGAAAGAGAATACATGGGTCCCCGTTTTGTTCTTCTATATTACTCCGCAGTTGATACACAGATTCTAAAAAAAAGTTGTTGAGAAATGTTGCCTTTTCCAAATTATTTATCAGCGAAACATCGTTACGATCTTTAAATACAAAAGAGCCTTTCTTTTTCCTGCCCAAAATGGTGTTAAGAAAACCTCATGTACGTTTTGAATCCGAACTAAGCTTTTCTAGGTTAGAAGCATAATAATTATTCATCGACAATCTTTTTGCAGTCTTTATGACCACACTTATTCTTTTCAACCTTTCTTTACAGCTTTTTTCCAAGGGGGCTTTCCTCCGAGCCTTCAAAAGCTTGCCTTTTAATTTAAGTAGAGACTGGATACTTTTATTAACCCACGGTGTAATCTCATAGCGCAAGGATTGTTTATGCCTTATTTCAGTCGTACTGGATTCTAATGCACTGGAAATGTCACCTAGAATAACCCCCGTTAAGAAAGACGGATCCACTGTGTCCTAACATCTTTCCTTTTCCTGCAACTGTTTTCTTAAACGTTCATAGTCGACATGATAAGGGATCTTCTCTAAATAATGATTTACTCGATACTCAAGTTTTAGGTTACAGCATAATAAATTATGATGTGACAACTCACATTCAATAGAATCCACAGGGAGTTCTTTTGTTATATTACTAAAGATATTGTCTATTGATGCTCCACTTGCCGGACGTGTAACTAACTTGTGACGGTTGTGAAAACCATACATAGTGAACATATTAGTCAAAGACATGGAAGAGGAACTAGCATTTAGCAAATCAATATTTGTATCACCAACATACACGGAAGCGTTGTTTGCGTTAGTTGATAACAAATCCCCAACAATTTTGATAAACGTTTTATCAGAACATTTTTGTGATCTATACATCGAAACAATACAAAGTGGTTTGCCTTCAATCTTAACTTCGTTGAGTGTAATAGATATGTAGTTTACGTAGTTTTCACTAAATGCTCTATTAACTGTGTAGTTCAAATTTGATCTAATGTAAATCGACGTCCCAAAGCCATCCGTTCTACAAGAGTGTACGCTATTAAAACCTGGAATTTCATAAATGCTGGCGTACAACT